TATATATATATATATATATATATATCGCATCTCATGTTTCAAATTGATGCTCTTCATAGATTTAATTCTTTTAACTGATCTTATATTGTTAATCCTTTCTCTTTTCTTCTCTAATATGAAGAAAAAAGAAGGAAAGAGACGAATCCTCTTCGTGCAAGAAGTTCAGCTAAAAAGAACAAGTCTCATATTTTGAAATATGTCAGACGTACAAAGGCCGCGTGCAATCCACTTTAGACACGCGACATTCCAAGCCCCCGTGGGGCATCCGGAGCGGATAAGATTGTCTCTGAGCGTGGCTGGAAGGAAGGCGGTCGCGCGCGACGGGGAAAAGAATGCTAGAAAGTCACTGTCGTGCATCCGGCGTGACTATGTGCCAGCAATGGTGATAATGGCAACGTGATTATTTGCAATTTCAAGGTGCGATTCGTCCTACGACATTGGCACGGCGAGAGGCAATTTCCCGCCCAAGCGGATATGCTGTGCTCCGAAGCGGAGGAAACAGCGAGACGCGCCGAGAGAGGTCTGCAGAAAAAACACTTTCACATGATGGGTCCTGAGCAAGAGCACTATTACAGTGACCTGGCGAATGTCGCAGGCATCACGCCGCTGCCGCCCGTGCTCTCGAAACTCCACAACGAGAGCAGTATGCGCTTCCTGAAAGACCTCGTGCATTTTCGGGAGGATCGCTACAAGATCATCGACGATTACAATTTCGTTAAACTTTCATGTTGAGGCGATAGACAATTATTTAAAAGATTAAATTCCAACTTTGTATTTTATTCAATTTAGAGATATTTCTGCATTGAAAATTGTAAGAAAAATTCACACCTATTCTTGCTTGTTAATTAATTCTTATTCTTCGTCGTGTGAAATAAATGTGAACTTTCCTGTCATTCAAGCGTGAATAATTATCATCTTATACCGATTAAAGTTTTTTGCATAAATATAATTGTCTAAAAGTCTAACTGTCATTTTAACTAGCTGTTCATTATAACTAGCTGAGAATCTTCTAATTTTCTAAAATTACTAACAAAAAAATATGTATAGCGGTATTCATAATCGAGTCTTATATTTAAGATTGTCTTAAATATAGTTTTAAGACGTCACGAACCAGAGGATTGCATGTATCTTACTTATGAATTTAAAGTCTACAATGATTGAAAGTCTGGATCTTTAATGTTTAAATAATTCAATGTGAATAAATATATTATATATATATGTATACATGCATATATATATATATATATATATATATA